AAATGCAAATCAATTTCTAACCTTTATATAATGTGTTTTTCTGGATTTTTTGGTTGATATTCTGTCTCTATCTGTTCAAATAAACCTATCATAAAAATGACAGACCCTTCATTTCTTTGCAAATGGGCAAACTTACAAAATCAGCAGGGGATCATATACAGTATGTATGTATATATATATATATATACATATCCCCCTTACCTTGAATGACGCTGATATGAAGGGAGGCAGCGCTGTCAGACACCCACATTCCCCCGAGCTCCACCCCGCACCAGTACCAGCCCGAGTCCTCCTCCGTCAGGTCGCGCATGCTGACGGTGAACACATGCTGAGTGGGGTCATCCGCGATCGTCACCATTCCCTTCCCGTTAGGGGCTGAATCGGGGTCATCGGTGCGCGCGAGGCTCGTGCAGAACTCCCTCATCCGGCCCTGACACCAGTACTTCACGTGACTGATGTACTGCGGGTTATAGTGACACGGGACAGTGACGGAGCCACCCTCCAGCACAGACACATCTCCTACAGTGCTCACTGTGCAGTGACTACCTGAAAGATACTGAGCACTTCAATATGCACTCTAGTAGATTTAACGATTTACACTATTATTATACTGGAGGCACTGGATTTTGGTTTTACATCCTTCTAGCAGAAAGGTGACAGGAGACAGATTTAGCAAACATCCTTGCATATAAAATATTTTTGCAGAGAATACATCCTGTCCAAACATCACTTGAGCATAACATAATGTAGCCTACCTTTTATGTCAAATGAAGGAAATATACAATGGAATATGAGTAGGCCTACAACTATAATTATGAATATAAATGCATAATAGCCTACTTGAGTGAGATTAAGGTAATGGAGTGGCCTAGCTAGTCTCCAGACCTCAATCCTATAGAAAATCTGTGGAAGGAGCTGAAACGTCAAGTTGCCAAACAACAGCCAAGAAACCTTAAGGATTTAGAGAGGATCTGTAAAGAAGAGTGGACCAAAATCCCTCCTGAGATGTGTGCAAACCTGGTGACCAACTACAAAAGACATCTTACCTCTGTGCTTGCCAACAAGGGTTTCTGCACCAAGTACTAAATCATGTTTTGCTTGGGGATCAAATACTTATCCCACTCACTGAAATGCAAATCAATTTCTAACCTTTATATAATGTGTTTTTTTTCTGGATTTTTTGGTTGATATTCTGTCTCTATCTGTTCAAATAAACCTATCATAAAAATGACAGACCCTTCATTTCTTTGCAAATGGGCAAACTTACAAAATCAGCAGGGGATCATATACAGTATGTATGTATATATATATATATATACATATCCCCCTTACCTTGAATGACGCTGATATGAAGGGAGGCAGCGCTGTCAGACACCCACATTCCCCCGAGCTCCACCCCGCACCAGTACCAGCCCGAGTCCTCCTCCGTCAGGTCGCGCATGCTGACGGTGAACACATGCTGAGTGGGGTCATCCGCGATCGTCACCATTCCCTTCCCGTTAGGGGCTGAATCGGGGTCATCGGTGCGCGCGAGGCTCGTGCAGAACTCCCTCATCCGGCCCTGACACCAGTACTTCACGTGACTGATGTACTGCGGGTTATAGTGACACGGGACAGTGACGGAGCCACCCTCCAGCACAGACACATCTCCTACAGTGCTCACTGTGCAGTGACTACCTGAAAGATACTGAGCACTTCAATATGCACTCTAGTAGATTTAACGATTAACACTATTATTATACTGGAGGCACTGGTTTTTGGTTTTACATCCTTCAAGCAGAAAGGTGACAGGAGACAGATTTAGCAAACATCCTTGCATATAAAATCTTTTTGCAGAGAATACATTTCCAACATCCTGTCCAAACATCACTTGAGCATAACATAATGTAGCCTACCTTTTATATGTCAAATGAAGGAAATATACAATGGAATATGAGTAAGCCTACAAACTAGAATTATGAATATAAATGCATAATAGCCTACTTGAGTGAGTATAGGCTATGAGTAACATAATGCAGTAATATGAATATAAAGGAAAAAAGAAAACATAACCATATTGGAAATTCTGATACACCGTATACATAAACAGCAATAAAATGTAACAGTGAGCTCCATGGTTATCAGTTCTGTAGCATTCATACATATACTGAAATACAAATATATCATAATTTCAGTTATAATTGTTTTTCTTGACCTAAAAAAATGTAAACGTCTCTCCAGCGATCAACTTTTATTTATTTATTTGTTTGTTTTGGCAATGGAGGATTACACACTGCCTGGAAAAAATACATTTGTTCATTATAACATTAATCATAACGCCAGAATGCTTCTGGTTTCATTTTCACTCATAATAGCAAAAAAAATAAAACTAAATAAAAGTAAAACAGTAAATAGTCACAACACCTTTATCACAATTGAAATGTTGTCTTTATAAGCTAAAACTCATAGATGTTTTGCTTATTGAAATGATTGAAAATTAAACAATGTGTGTTTGTGCATGAAATGGCCGACTGCGTTACTGTGGCCAACAGGCCTGCTTTTCACTGCCATTTTATTTATTTCCAGTTTTTCATTTAACTAATGAAATTCAGAACATCCAATAGGCTATGAGTAACATAATGCAGTAATATGAATATAAAGGAAAAAAGAAAACATAACCATATTGGAAATTCTGATACACCGTATACATAAACAGCAATAAAATGTAACAGTGAGCTCCATGGTTATCAGTTCTGTAGCATTCATACATATACTGAAATACAAATATATCATAATTTCAGTTATAATTGTTTTTCTTGACCTAAAAAAATTTAAACGTCTCTCCAGCGATCAACTTTTATTTATTTATTTGTTTGTTTTGGCAATGGAGGATTACACACTGCCTGGAAAAAATACATTTGTTCATTATAACATTAATCATAACGCCAGAATGCTTCTGGTTTCATTTTCACTCATAGTAGCAAAAAAAATAAAAAAATAAAACTAAATAAAAGTAAAACAGTAAATAGTCACAACACCTTTATCACAATTGAAATGTTGTCTTTATAAGCTAAAACTCATAGATGTTTTGCTTATTGAAATGATTGAAAATGAAACAATGTGTGTTTGTGCATGAAATGGCCGACTGCGTTACTGTGGCCAACAGGCCTGCTTTTCACTGCTATTTTATTTATTTCCAGTTTTTCATTTAACTAATGAAATTCAGAACATCCATCCGTTGTTGTCCATCAGTCTCCAACAAACAACAACCAAGCAGAAAAAGCCAAGTAACAAAAACATGATATTTTTACATGTATATTCTAATGACTCTTTTGAAAACGAAGAACTTAAAAACATCCTGTGTTTGGAAAGGTTGAGTTAATAGAAGGCACTCTAAAGTACATTGAGGAATTTAGGTCAGTGTTTTTCTTCCTATGAGAACTCATCTTAGCTGCTGCCAGAAACACTTCCATTCCAGGTTTTAAAACTGCAAACAGTTCAATATATTGTTCAGAAGAGTGGATGTTTTAACGCATTACCAATTTTAGCTGTGGATTGTCTTTGTACACTCCCATAAACACAGCTTTGACAAATGCCTTTAAATAGCTGAAGCTATTTTTCCAAAAAAGAGTGATGAAAGCTCACCTGGCAGAAGAAAAATTATTAGAAGTAGCAGCAGAAGAGTCATCGCTGAGGTTGAGTGTGACACAGTCCCTCTTTCTTAAAGACAGCTGTTGTGAGAAGGAATATTTCTGCGTTCACTCTCACTTCCTTCTGCCCTAAACTATGTCCAGATGTGGGAGCTTGTTTTAACCATTTGTGCTCCACACTGCAATTGTGTTCAACACAATATTAATAAATAGAGACTGTGGCTTCTGCTTTCATTTAAAATTAAATAAAATACAGTTTTTCAATGTTACATTTATTACTAATTATATATATATTTTAAATACATCTCAAACACACAGATGTACTTCTAATGTGATTACTTAGATATGCTACAATAAAAACACCACAGGACCATTGGATTGTTTTTAAAGGCATTTCATTTGTTTCAACAACTTCCAGAGTTTTACAAAAGTAGAAAAATGAAGGAACAAGACAAGAACTTATCATAAATGACAATTCTGTCAAAACATATATTAACATTGAGAGCTCTGCAGACAGTTGTGTTTGTTTGTAGTTGTTTTGTACTTGAGCAGCATTTGGTCTTCATATCTGTGAAAATCAAACAAGATTCAGAGCTGGTTGCAAAATACCAGATTAGTTCATCTTGAGAAAACAAGTTATAGAAAATACATTTAGAGACAATTAAAAAAAATATTTGGGGTGTTTTCGGTCTTCCTAATGCTCCAGTAATTAATCCCATCATGGTTGTAGATGACAATATCTAAAAGACAATAATTTTGCAAAGTATTATGTATAGTGCTTGACCGACACTTATTTTATTGATGGGCATATCAAGTGATGCAATGAAACCGAATTATTTTCCATTTACTAAATTATGAAATAATTGTAAAATTAATCAACATGAAAAAAATACTTAATTAAAAAAAAATCTGTCTTTTGCAACTTCTTGATTGTGTAATCCTACAGTATTATAGTAATGCGCACTGGAAAACATATCTTCTGAAATACAGAGCAAGTTTTACACACAGCGACTTGCAAACTGGACACAGCGCAAAGTGATATATCAGAAATAAGATTTAAAGATAATCAGATGTGACATTTATAGCAATGTTAAAAAAAAAAAAAAAAGCTGCTTCCAGTGCCAAAACAGAAAATTAAATCCAAACAGAAAAAAAACTAATCGGCCGATGCTGATCATTTAAAAATGCCAAATATTTGCTGATATATTGGCTTTGGTGATATATATTGGATCGCTAATTATTCAAATAAACGTGTCTTTTGCAGGGATTAAAACTAGCCATCTGATGGTGATGATGGTTTTACAGATCTCTAAATTCATGGCAATTGACAGCTTTATCTTGAAGGAACATGAACACAAAATGCGGAATAAAGCAATGAATGTTAAAGGGGTCATACGACGTTGCTAAAAAGAACATTATTTTGTGTATCTGGTGTAATGAAATGTGTTTATGCGGTTTAAGGTTAAAAAAACATTATTTTCCACATACTGTACATTATTGTTGTTCCTCTATGCCCCGCCTTTCTGAAACGCGGCGATTTTTACAAAGCTCATCAGTCTGAATACCTCAAGCGTGTGACGGAAATGTTACGTCCCTTACCATATTGTGATGCCGTGTCCTGGCCGGAGCGACGAGACAAAAACATTAAAACCCATTATAAACGAGGCATTTGTTGCATCCAGTGGGGACATAATTACGGATTATAATGACTTATACTCTCTTTGTACGCGTTGTGTTGCATTGCGCCGCGAAAAACATAAAACCATGTCTGCATTTGCGATCGGAGAAACGACAAACGCTACTCTACACTGCTCAAAACTCGCGTTTGAATCGTCAGTGGCAAATCCTTTAAATATGAAATCGTACTTACAGGCTGTGAGTTAGCATTATTTGTCAGCATCACAGACGGTATAGGGTCAGCATGCGCGCCGCAGGGAAACAGGGGAACTGAATTCACTGGAACACCGGAATTATAGGCTACTCTCCCAGGAAACAGTCCTCGTCCTCCGTAAAATGCGCTACACACATCTGAATATTTGGGTTGAAGTGTTCTGGAACAGTGTTGTAAATACAACTTAACCACTGATTTCTAGTCGTGTCCTCTTTTGGAAGACCAAACAAAGTAGTTTCGCTTTCACAACGAAACACACAGCGTCTCCATGACATGGCGGCGACAAAAATACTACAGCGAGAATCAAAGTCATGCCTTCTTTCTTTGCGTGAACATTTGGGCGGCGTTATGCAAATCTTCCCACACAGTGACATAGGTATGTGGGGGCGTGTTAGAACGAGCCGTTTTAGGAGGGCGTGGACCAGTCTTAACTTTTATAAAGAATATCTCTTTGGGTTTGAGACTTTAGTCTTTGCAACTTCAGGGATCTTATCTATTCACGAACAGCTTGTAACACTCCAAATAGAAAGGTAAACTTGAAATCGCATCATATGACCTCCGTAATATTAGGCACTTGTGTGCAACTGGATATTTCATTGCACACAAATGAATATGACACAAAGGAGGAAGCATGTATTGCTGTATCAGGCCACTCTTTTACATCAGGCAAGATGTAAAGTTTCTAGAGAAATTCATTTATACTGAGCAAGCAGTGTACAGTGTATTTTAAAAGGATCCGGGCATGATGTTTATCTGCTATTTTGGTGTTTTCTTTTTGTTTGTTGTTGTCTGAACTATGTGGCATAAACATTAGACACATGGAAGTGATGCTGAAACATTCATTAGGTGTTACTGGTACACACACCTGCTGTAAGAGCACAGAGCAGATGCTCTTATTCAGCCAACAAAATTGACGACCACTAGATGCAGAACAGTGTGAGCAAAGAGGAAATCAGCGAAGGCTCTCTCAGGAGAGACGGTCAGGAAATCTCTTTTATTCTGAGGGTTGATCTGGATGCGAAGACAGACTGAAGATAGAAGAACATAAAGCCACAAATGATCAACATAAACGTTCATATCAACATACATAATGAACATTAGGTGAAGTTAAAGTGGTTGAAGATTAGAGAATAATGGATGCTATTATTTATCTTTCTGATAACCAGATATATGCATATATGTAGTTTTTATATTGTTTTATGTCTGCTTATGACAATTAAATAAATAAAACTATGCATTTGTGAGTTATACATATTTTTAATTATAATAGAATGAAAGTGTATATACATACACTACCAGTCAAATGTTTGGGATCAGTAAGACTTGTAATGTTTTTTTAAAGAAGTCTCTTATGCTCATCAAGGCTGCATCTATTTGATCAAAAATCCAGAAAAAAAGCAGTAATCTTGCAAAATGTTATTACAATATAAAATAATGGTTTCTATTTTAATATCCTTTAAAATATAATTTATTTCTGTGATGCAAAGCTGAATTTCCATCAGCCATTTCTACAGTATAAAGTGTCACACGATCCTTAAGAAATCATTCTAATATGCTGATTTATTATTAGAATGATCAATGTTGGCAACAGTTGTGCTGCCAAATATTTTTTTGGAAACTGCAATACTTTTTTCAGGATTCTTTGATGAATAAAAAGTTAAAAGGAACAGCATTTATTCAAAATATAAATCTTTTCTAACAATATAAATCTTTGCCATCACTTCTTAACAATTTAACACATCCTTGCCGAATAAAGGTTTTCATTTCTTTTAAAAACCCCAAACTTTTGAACTGTCGTGTATACTGTTAGAAAAAAAATTATATTTTAAATAAATGCTCTTCTTTTTAACTTTTTATTCATCAAAGAATCCTGAAAAAAAGTATCACAGGTTCCAAAAAAATATTAAGCGGCACAACAGATTCCAGCACTGATAATAAATCAGCATATTAGAATGATTTCTGGGGGAATGGGTGACTGGGGTAACGATGCTGTAAATTCAGCTTTGCATCACAGGAATAAATTAGATTTTAATGTATATTAAAATAGAAAAATTTTATTTTTACATCATAATAATATTTCACAATATTACAAATTTTCCAGTATTTTTGATCAAATAAATGCAGCCTTGATGAGCAGAAGAAACTCCTGTAAAAAAAAAACCATTAAAAACCATTCTGATCCCAAACTTTTGACCGGTAGTGTGTGTGTGTGTGTGTGTACTGGTTTATATATCCTGGTTTGGACTTAAACCTGAATACACACAGACTCATGGGGACTCGTGTCACGGTGGGGACCTAAATTGTGGTCCCCACGAGTACAAAAGCTTATAAATCATACAGAATGAAGTTTTTTTGAAAATCTAAAAATGCAGAAAGTTTCCTGTGAGGGGTAGGGTTGGTGTAGGGCAATAGAATATACGGTCTGTACAGTATAAAAACCATTACGCCTATGGAGAGTCCCCACAAGGATAGCTGCCCAGAGTGTGTGTGTATGTATGTATATTAGATACATACACATATCTACATATTTATATGTGTGTGTGTGTGTGTGTGTGTGTGTGTAGTTTACATTAAATGTCATGCATTATGTATTCCAAAATCTTAAAGATACACCACCAACATTATTATTTGCCTTTCAAGGTCCAAGAGGCCCTTACAGACATTATAAATGGAGTTTGGGAACATATACATTTGACAAGTATACTACCACTAAAACAAAATAACTGTTGGTTCTTGTCCTATATTATTAAATAAGTGTTAATACCAGCCAGTATGAAGGATCCCACACACGCAATGAATCCCGATAAGAAGCTGTTGAAGGGGAACGTTCCCACCAGCACACAGTACAGGAACTGGAACACTCCGGTCAGCAGAATGTACAGCAGATACGCGTCGATCACCTTCAGCTTATTCGGTGTGCTGCTCCTGTACTCCTCCACAAAACGCGATATAACTGAAAACACCGAATTAGACATGGTTTCCGCAGGAATTGTGCACAGACAGCCTCGAAATCCAGCAGCGAGGAGATGACTGACGTGTAAGAGAGACCGATGTGCGTCCTCTAAACGGTCCCCGCTGGAACGGCAGGAGCATTTTAGTTCCGGTGCTCGTGAAGCGTAAAGCGTTCGTGTTCAATGCAAAGCAATTAAATAGGGATGCAACGATTCACTCAACTCACGATTCGATTCACGATTTTGATTTCACGGTTTTGTTTTGTTTTACAAAATGAGATTTGAGACAAATAATAAATTAAGTGTGTCCTTTTATTATTGCTTGAACATTTCTTTGTGAAATTGAAATATAACACTATAATAATAATACACTAATATAGCGCTTGTAAATTATTGCTTTTTTGTTGGTTTTGATTGCTTCTATTGTCCTCATTTATAAGTCGCTTTGGACAAAAGTGTTTGCTAAATGACAAAATGTAAATATAATGTAAATGTAAATAACTAAACTAAATTGAAATTTTAAAACAAGCCCCAAATCAAATAAATAAGTAACACAAATAAAAGAAATCTCTTCATATAAACAAAATAAGGCTTTGTCTGTGCTCTTTCCTTTTAAAATTAGAGGCAACCACTGCATTCTAATCATGATCCAAACATCCCCCATCCCCCCCCCCCCCCCCCCCCCCCCCCATACATTGGCAAAGTATGATCAATTAATAACTTTTCAACTTGTTTCTTATTGGTGAAGAACACAAATGTTTTCCTCAAAACTTCTCCCTTCATAAAATGTTTAAAGTACCACTAGGGATGCAACGATTCACTCAACTCACGATTCGATTCACGATTTTGATTTCACGGTTTTGTTTTGTTTTACAAAATGAGATTTGAGACAAATAATAAATTAAGTGTGTCCTTTTATTATTGCTTGAACATTTCTTTGTGAAATTGAAATATAACACTATAATAATAATACACTAATATAGCGCTTGTAAATTATTGCTTTTTTGTTGGTTTTGATTGCTTCTATTGTCCTCATTTATAAGTCGCTTTGGACAAAAGTGTTTGCTAAATGACAAAGCATTTTAATCATGATCCAAACAAAGATGCTGCATACATGCAACATGAGCAGTTTTTAATCTAAATTAGATTGTATAATTTCGAAATTTGAAGCAAAAACCGAATGGTTTGACTTCAGTTTTGTGAAACTATACATAAAAAATATCTGTATGAAACCGAAACAGCAGACGAGCTGAACGAGACGCAGATTCACTCTCTGCCAGCAGGTGGCGCTTTAAGCGTTTCATTGGTTTCCGCTGTAAACAAAGCAGCGCTGCACTTATGAACTTTAATGTGCATTATACAGAGGCAAGATGAAAAGAAAAAATACCATCTAAACTTTTCTAAAGACAGTACGTTCCCCTCAGACATGCATTCATATAAACTCCTACCCCTAAATGAATCGCGATTTGTTAAGCATCTCAACCGATTTGAATCGTCACATATTTGAATCGATTTTCAACCGTCTAGCGGTTAATCGTTACATCCCTACAATTAAACTAATCCTAACCAAACGTCCTAATTTTCTCCCAGCGTAATTTCCCAAATCCACTCAGAACAACCGGAGACAACTGTGACACAAAGTATAAGTATTGTTTTTAATTAAAACAATAATTAATTTTTTTTTTATTCTCATAATGTATTCAGGTAATTTTTTTCCTAAACATAATTATGCAATAAAATCAAAGCAAAGATTATTCCTTATCACCTTATTAGTACCCTGACGGTTTGAAACGTCCACATTTCATTATAAATAATATATCCACACAAACTAACATAAGACTTGTTTCATGACTTTTCACCCATTTCTTTTATTTCTGTGCCGCGGCTCCTTTAAATGCGCTGACGTCCGCGTTACAAAACACACACACACACCACACGGGCTTTAAAGTGACGGTCTGTGTGGCAGCTCCGGGAGCGAATACAAACATCTATGCCAGTCTGTTCTTGTGGTTCTGTTTCATAATAATGTCTCCTGCGAACGCCGCAATGCAAGACGGGACTGACACAGAGTGAGTACCGTATTTGAATATACAATCATAATACACCCTTGAGATGCGAGTCGCTCGTGTAACATGAAGCTTCCTGTTATTATGAAACACTGTATGTTTAACACGTGACTCTTTCAGAAGCCCTGCAGTGAGTGATTGAAATAATTCATACTTGGTCTGTCATGATCTCATAACGTTATGCCAAGTCATGCTGAGCTGTTACATCACTATAGTTATGGCTCGGTTTTTGAACTAAATAACAACTCCAATAATTGACAACTTAACTTTTCTGTGTTATTATTCCTTATAGGAGTGTTCATTTTTAAATGTAAGATTAAAATGTTGATTTAAATGCCAAAGGCAAGTTCCATTCATATGGCGTACAATACAGTTCATAAATAAAATATGATGTTATAATAAACTGATGCTACCAACATAATTAACATTTAACTTTTTTTTGTCTGAGTTCTCATTTCAGATTAATTGTAGATTAATTGTACCTTTTATTCATATCATGTACAGTACGGACCATAAATGAATATATATATATATATATATGTATTTTAAATAAATTACAACTTTTCTGTCTTATTATTGCTTATAAATTTAAGACTAACATGTACATTTAAATGCTAATGCCAACTTCCAAATACATGGTGTACAGTACCTACATAAATACAAATGTATTTTATAATAAAGTGATTCTCCTTAACTTACATTTTCTGTCTTATTATTGCTTATTAGAGTATTTGTTTTTTAATTTAAGACTAAAATGTATGTTTTAGTGCTGATGTTAAGTTTGATTCACATAGAGTATGGGACAGACCATAAATACAATTTTATAATAAAGCGATGCTCCTAACATTACTTAACTCTTTATTTAAAACACTATATTTCCTTTGTGTGCTTGCATATGAATTATTCCCTCGAAGCATTATTAATACTGGTTTTATTGCCAGCAGGTGACAGGCTTGTACTGTGTGTAAAGGCAGATGACGTAACGCTGTATGTACAAAGACCAATGACATGGACAGTCTCATAGTCCTTCCTACTGCTCTCATCCATTCACTGACTTTATATTTTTCTCTTTTTCTTCAGACAGACCTCTGGGAACTGGTCTTGGTGGCCCTCTTGGAGACCAACATCCATGTCGTTATTGAAAAGTGCCGAAGCTAAAATTCTTGCCTGTAAGATCCTCACTGTCCCCTTTTAATATTTAGAAAATGTGTCCAATTATAATATGTGACCCTGGACCACAAAACCAGTCCTAAGTGTCAATTTTTCGAAATTGAGATTTATACGTAATCTGAACGCTGAATAAATACGCTTTCCATTGATGTATGGTTTGTTAGGAGAGGACCATATTTGGCCGAGATACAACTATTTGAAAATCTGGAATCTGAGGGTGCAAAAAAAATCAAAATATTGAGAAAATCGTCTTTAAAGTTGTCCAAATGAAGTCCTTAGCAATGCATATTTCTAATCAAAACTGAAGTTTTGATATATTTACGGTAGGAAATTTACTAAATATCTTAATGGAACATGATCTTTACTTAAAATCCTAATTATTTTTTTTTGGCATAAAAGAAAAGTCGATAATTTTGACCCATACAATGTTTTTTTGGCTATTGCTACAAATATACCCCAGCGACTTAAGACTGGTTTTGTGCTCCAGGGTCACATATTATAATACCCTATTCTATTATTTGGTAACACTTTAATTTAAGGTGTCCTTGTTACACGTTACATGTACTTATTATAATAACAATAAATTATGCATAATTACATGCAAGTAACCCTAAGCCAAACCCTAATCCTAACCCTAACCATATAGTATGTATGTGTAGTTAATATTACTCAGTATTTAAATGTATAATTACACTGTAACCAGGACACCTTAAAATAAAGTGTAATCGTATTATTCATAATATTATATTTATTGAGATTGCATTTTATTAAAATCATTTTTTTTATTTCATTACAATATTTTTATTTATTTTTATCCCAAAATATTATGCCCATTCTGCCTGTTGTTCAGGTCTCCAGAATAACGTATGGTCCAGATTTGTGACGTTGCCAAATCAAAACAGAATATGGACCCTTAAAGTCACCAACAAATCAGCCCGCAAACATAAAGACCAAGGTAGAGTTTCTATTCCTCTGCTACAGTGGTTGACTGTAAAAGTATTTTGCACAGTTAGATATTGTCTGACCCATACCATGTCCCTGTCTCTCTATAGCTGCTCAGACGCCCCTAGTGATGGTCCATGGGTTTGGAGGGGGCGTCGGTCTCTGGATCCGTAACCTGGATGCTTTGAGTTGCTCTCGAACGGTCTACGCCTTTGACCTGCTGGGCTTCGGTCGCAGCTCTCGCCCCTCATTCCCGTCTGATGCCTCATTGGCTGAGGAGCAGTTTATTACTTCCATAGAGCAGTGGAGACAATCACTTGGGCTGGAGCGCATGATCCTATTGGGCCACAGCCTGGGTGGTTACCTAGCAACATCCTATACAATCCAATATCCAGAAAGGTACAAAAAAGCTTATAAATTATAGTACGATAAATTGCAATAGTTTATAACAGCAGCTGTCATTTACTGAGCTATAGTTCATTTAAAATCTCAAAAAAACAACAAAAAATGGATTTTATTTCATGGAACACAAAAGATGTTTGGTAGAATGTTTACTGATCCTTTTTTGATTGCTATAAAATATTTAAATGTTTAATTTATGTCACGCATTATCAAATTTTGTTTAAAAATACCAACTTTTGGCAGTCTGAGCAAATAATGAGTCAAAAAAAAAAAGGTTGAAAAGGATGTTTTTGCAAAAGTAAACCAAAATATAAAAGCAAAATGTAAATGCAAAAATCATACAAAATATAAAATAAAATAGAATTGTAATAAAAGAAACAAAAAACATTGTTTGCTGAATTGCTTATGTTACCAACTCTGTTGGTTGAAAATGTCTGCTAAATGTATAAATGTTAATGAAATAAATATAAATAAAACAACATAAAATCAAAAACACAAAAAGTCATGTTAAAGAAATATTGTACAAGTACACTATGAAATAAAAAAATATTTCATCAGATTAACTTTATAGGTTTTAAAATATGAAAGAGT